AATAACTGTCAGCACGATATTATATAATCTAATATTTAGTGGTCTTGATACTTGGATGGATCATAAATAAAGATGTACTTCTATGTAGATCTATTTAAATTGGTTATACAGCTGTTACTTATGATTTTAATGTTTTAAATGGACTTTTAGTTGAAAATCTAACGATAAGCAACGCGCATTGTGTACAATAAGCACTAAAGTAGTAGTTTAAAAATATTCCAAAAAGCTCTAGAAAAGTTTCACTTTCTGGCTGGACTGTACCTCTCAATGTTAATCCAGTCTCAAGAGACCGATGATCATCTGATCAACGGCTAATGAATATTCAAAGACCTCTGAGCAAACCGACCTCAACTTGGTGGTCTGTGATCCTGACTATCAAGTAGAGATATCTTGCCATAAATCTCAACACCGTTTAAAACTCTATAGATCCTTACACGTCTTCGTAAGTGAAATATTCGAATAACGTATCCAGTTGGCGACATTTCAAGCGATTTTGTGTTTGTATAATGTAATATTTACCTACGGAACTATGTTCAAACTAATATATATTTTGTCACGTGCGTGAAATAAATAAAAATAAATAGCTTTAAATTAAAATCCAGAGGACTGGAGTACGGCTCAACATATCGTGTAAGGATGTAAGAAAGAATATATGCATATAAAATTACCGAATTTACAATAAAATAAATGATTATATGTTTCATGGGTAAATCATACTTATACGTCCAAGAAAGTTTTAGTTACAGATATTAGAACAGAAAACACATCGAAAATAAAAATAAACAAATTAAGTTACTGGCCGAAAGTAATCGTGTCAGTATCTTTATTTTAATGGGACTCTGAAAAACCTGTGAAGCCTTAAAATACAAGTTGATTTTATAATATTAGTAAAGGTTCCGAGTCAATGACGTCATTTGTTTATATGTATAATCCATACAGTTGCTGTTCTAATATTCGAGGTTTTGATCGATCAGGTGATTTCATCCGCGTGCACAGTTTGTAAGTGATACGTCATTTGTCCGTTAACTTTAAATAACTTTGTACAATGACGTCATGGAGACTAGGGAAGCAGCAATTTTGTTCCGCAGTGAGGAAGAATGTAATTTAAGTTTCAAACCGTGCAAACCTTATTAGCAAAGTCAGGTGATTTTGGAGGTCACTGCTTATTGTAATGAAGTGATATTGATATTACATAGTTTGTAATTCAATATAATTCAGAGTAAAATGTGCGGATTTTATTATAGCGTATGAAAGTTATTTTTGAATAATAGTGAAGAAAATTTCACTTAATATACAGACAAAGATTTGATAATGATAAAATTACTTTAAAGCTAATTTAATTGTTTTCACTTGTTGTCCATTTTAATGGTAAATAAAAAAAATGTATTTCATCGTTAAAGTCCAAACTGTAGCTGCGAATATTGCAAAAACTGGATTAAATAAAAAAAATAATAATGATTAAAATTTGCTAGGTTTTAACAAGCATCTTGGAAGAGAGAGAATAACGGATTGAACTTGAAAATCACAAATCACAAGAAATTAAACAAGAACTATCAGGATGTAAATCAAAGTCGGGTTTGCGTTTGGCACCGGCCAACATTTGGGAGTAAGGAGGTTTTGCCATGCAAGCTTCTAGATTCACCGAAAATATATTTTGTAAAGTAATTTTTACATCACAACTGTGTTATAATATAAATATTGATTGTTAATGCATTGGCAATGAATAATTACAAATAAAAATATTATGTTGGGTCTGTCTGGTTAAAAAAGTTATTTTCCTCCATGTAATGACGATAAGAAGGGCCACCAGAAAAAATATGATAATAAGTTTTTACTACTTTAGCGAACTATTTTACATTCGTATAATCTATAGGCCTATTAGAAATTATTTCACCACGTTATTTGATTGTTAAAATGTCCTAAACTTGCAAATAGGAAAATTCAATCGGCAAAACAGCATAAGAAATATTAAATTTTTTAACTTATGTTAAAATTAATATTTTAGTAATATATTTTTCTTCCTTCAATCCCGAAACTACAGTGTAGTCTTCGGAAATAAACATATTTATGCAGTGTATTTTAACCAAAGTCACACGCCATAATTGTAATGGTCGAATTTCAAGCATCATAAATTTGTTAGTGTACTACATTATCTCTGCAATCAAAAACAGAGTGACCAACAAAACTATCACAGCTTTGTTTTACTTTGATCAGACTTATTTATATTTATATTTCACTATGTGAAAATTGTCTAAAAATTTTATTTAATTTTTTTATTGATTAATGTTTCAATGAGTCTATTTGCACTAGTTTGCACTAGGCTATCCTCTTAAAGAGTCACATTATCAATCCATATAGACAATATATTTAATACATTCCACCAATTAGTTGGGTTAAGCGAGCTAGTATAGTGAGAGCGGGACTTTGGTTCCTGAGATCACCGGTTCAAATCTCGCCAATCCAAAATGATTTTATCCAAGTGATAATGCCGTGACTCCCCAACCCCCTCTGACGAACCCTTGAGTAGTGTGAATAATCCGGGCTATAACCAAAGGGAGAAAAAATAGTTTCCACCAAAAAGCTGAGTCATTTCTTGTTCTTTACTTGACTCCAATCTTGCCCAAGATAACCAGGATGCTGACGTTAAATCATCAGAAGGTACATTAGCATAAGATTAATGATCTGTGGGACCATCCCCGCCACTGACCTGGAAACCCTACTGGCAATGTGCAACGTGTGTGATGTTACATAGTAAACTTATGAAATTAATCTCGGATAGCAATAATACATTATGCAATTCTCATTTCCTAACAAATCACTGTAATTTTTCTTCACTGTATTTTGGTAAAAAATGTTATAAATACGTACTCAATCATGGTTTTCGTAAATGGACAAGAAGTAATAATTAAGTTTTACTCTGGATAAAATGTAGTGTGAAAAATCTTTTGAGGTGCAAACAAAATCCAGCTGTTATTGTTTTTTTACTGATTTCAAAGAAAAAAATACCATACGTGAATAAGTTGGTACCAGTCATAGTCCTAATATAAAAAAACTGAATTATCTCATTTTCGTCTGTATTTTATCTATTTGTTTCATTACTTTTAAATTATTTGAATAATTGGTCATAGTATGTAAAACTGGATGGTAGCTTAAACAATTGATTTTATCAAAAGTTAAACACAATCATCAGGGTTTTCTATCTCGCCTAAAGTAGTACAGACAAGGTTTGGGTTCCTTGAAGTCCCTAGTATTCTTGTAGACATATGATATTTTCACATGAAATAAATCTGACTTGTATTTGGAGCACCGGCGAATTAGCTCTGTAGGTATATTTTCTGTTTTTAATTTAACCTTATAACACTTTTACGGGCATCTTTGTGTGCGAGGAGGAAATTAAAATTTGTACCTATAGTCTATAAGATGGAACCAGTCTCCTGACCCTTGATCTACCAGAGACTTGCCCAAGCCTCAAACCATTAGACCAGCCCCTGTGATCAGGAGACAGGTTCCATCATACAGACTATAGTCCATAACACAAAAAATCCCTATTACAAATCTGCAATAGTTTTTCACAATTCATAATTTATTTATTAAAATGTCTGTAAAAAGTCTTTAAATTGACTGATGGACATTGAGCTCTAAGTTCATAAATAAAGAAGCATTAAATCAACACTGGAAAATGTTTTTTTTATCAAATTTGGGCAAAAATATAAACTAATAAACTTTTGGCACACAACTAGTATTTTTTACGTTTTCTGAATCCATTATTGACATTGATTACTATGTTAAAATAAAGTTTAATGCATTGGAATGGCTATCAAGTAAAGCTTACTTATGATCGTGAAAATTTGATTACTTTACTAACAATTATTCTAAAAGGATAATCGTAAATGTTAAACGGTTGTAAACTAAGACGATTTTAAACTTCCGCATCAACGTAACACCTCACACACTTCAGATTTTATTTTTCATAAGTTCACCTTGACGCAAAGAACCAGACACAACATATTGTGTTACGCCGCCAAATAAATATTTACCCTTACATTTCGCGTATTCCTTTCATTTGCTAATCCGAACACCAAAAGTGTTGAACACCTGATAAATACACACTAACCACTCAACATACAACACTATTTGCACTACATATATACAGTGTCCCTACATACAGACCAACAGGTTATAGACGGGGTATAGGTGCAGTGAGAAAGAGAGAGCAAGCCACTACAACGAGTATAGAGTGAGAGAGAGATAGAGAGTAGAGAGTAGAGAGATAGGTATAGTTGCAATAGCACATACATTCCCATCTAAACATGTATATACAACAAGTAACATAGAATGTAAATTACAGTTCTGGTACAAAACCTTGGATGAATTAGCTTACTAGGTAAACTGTACAAAGATTACGAATAGTTTATTTAAAAAATATACGTCTATATACATACCTATGTTAATTTAGGTATGTATACTATCAGTTACATTATTGGCAATGTAATGCAATGGTTTCATAAAAATTGAAATCAAAACCAGAATAACAGATTTTTTACGTAATCGTTAAAATGTTAACGGTGTTTGATTATTCAGTGCAACATTTGAATTTTAGTTAATCATTTATTTCACGAAACGCTCAAATTCCTTCGAAAAGCCTAAAAAATAAACTAAAGTACCCCAAATAGAGTTATTTTCGTATTAGGAAGCTTTAAGCTTTTCGAAATCAAAATACAACAGGGTTAATAATCAGGACCCTACTGTAACTTGATAAGATGTAATATTCGATAGAAAAATATTAACTGAAATTAAGTTAACTCTGATAGGGTACTCATTTTTTAAGACTCCGGCGATCTCTTTTATAGTATGTACGATGGAACCTGTCCCCAGCCACTTTATCTACCTGGGACTAGACCATACCTTAACCCACCGCCAATTTCCTGGTAGATGGAGGGTCAGGAGACAGGTTCCATCATGCAGACTATAGTGGAAACACATTGGACACTATAACTTACTGTTTTTCTTGTAGAGGAGGATCTCGAACTGGTCGTGCAGTTGGTTCTCTAGGACTTCATCGATCCTCGCGATGGTCTCCTTGTCAGTCAGTTCTCCGTACATGAACGTACAGCGACACGACTTCTGCATCACCTGGGAGAAAAAGTATGTGAAGAGTTGGGTAGAAACCCTAACCTAACCTAACCTAACCTTACCAAATAGGTTAAGTGTAAGAGAGGGCAATGTGGCCCTAACTTTGCCTGATTAAATAAATCATTTTCATTTCATTTCATTTCAAACCTAACCTAACCTAAACTAACCTAACCTAACCTAACCAAACCAAACCTAACCTAACATAACCTAACCTAACCAAACCTAACCTAACCAAACCTAACCTAACCTAACCTAACCTAACCTAACAAGTTTCCTCTACGTATATCTTTAGTATCTTGAAACAACAGGTAGATGAAGTATTTTAAATTAGGAACAACGTTCTCCCTCATGACTCATTAACATTGACTTTTGGATATTACAGTAGACTAGTAAATATATCCAGTTTTACATTTAAATATGTAATATATTATTGAGCCGTTCTGAAAGAGTGTTACTGCAAAATATATATTTTAACTGTATTTGATCAATTTATGTAATTGTTGTGAAATAAACGATCCTAAGATGTAAGTATTTTTTTTGTTTAGCTTAGTTAAAACATCACCGAATACAATGGAAATTACTCATTTCACGATAGCATCGACACGTGAATTGGTGGTCAAATTAATCAAAAATAATTTTAATTGTTAAAAATAGTCTACTAGGTACAATTTTTGATCCATTTCATGGGCTATTGTTAAAGCAAAAGTAATAAAGTTGAAGTTTTAAGTCTATAAATAATATAATCAAGAAAAAGTATCAAATCGAAGTTAATAAATTAAGGAAGGCTACAAACTCTCAAGAATAAAGATGATAACGTATGCTATGCCAATCTGATAGTTCTAGAAATAAAATTATACAGCACACACATACAGTAATTTTTCTGCTATTAATTTAAATATCCAACGTGAGGAATAATTTCTTAGAGAAACCAGGGATGCAATTTCCAAGGAAATTTACAAACCTAAAATATTATAGTCTGTATGATGGAACCTGTCTCTTCACTCTATGCCTTACCTGAGAACTGGCCAGGTAGATCCGGCTAGGAGACAAGTTCCATCATACAGACTATAGATGAGTCTGATATCCCTGGCAAGTTTAAATTTAGAGCGGACATTTCACTAATAACTTTATAAAAATGGTAAGATATTATTTATGACATAAATCAAGAAGACAGTGTAGGTTGTCTATTTATTTCAGCCTCTAGACTCAAAAGGATGAGCTTCTATAACACTCCGACGATCTGGAAACGAGCCAAATAATAATTTATCTTGTTGCAAATGCTATACACTATAATCTTTGTTTTCCAAATGAAAATTACATACAACACACCTCTTTGGTATATTATCCAGGCTTTAACTAAACATAGCTATATACCTATTCAATCCTATGTATTATGATAATAGTGAAAACATGATTAAACCTAAATAGTTTTTAAATGTTTTTTTTTTTTAGATTTTGGTGATATTTTTTATCACAGTAAATAATCTGATTCCAAATAACCCAGTGTGTGCTTTTTTTAGGTATTATGAATTTAATAGTTGATCTAAAAAGGTAAACTTGATACTATACGATGTGAGATATTATCTACATTCCTTACTTAGCACGAACTTAAAATATTGATTGAGAAATAAAATTGCAAATACAACTTTAGAAAGACATACCTCTGCCCTATTGTAACCAGAGATCTTGCAGAACGATTCGTTGCAGTACACTATGGGGAAATCTACTATCTGTGCGTTGGCCAATAGGAAACTGCTATCTGCTGAAACAAATACTAGTATTAGAAACTCACGTAATGATTTGGAGAAGCTAGATTTGGGATGTGAAAATAAGCTTAAAAAATAGAAAATATACATATAAGTTATAAGGTAACCGGCCTTTCAATACTAACAATATCTGATTCACTAACGGTTTTGTAGAAGCTGGCCATCTTGAAGACAGTATCGAAACGATAACGTCTGTATGACGGGACTTGTCCTCTGACCAAGGTCTACCTGGCCAATGGTTTAAAAGGACCGTCCAGACCCAGGTAAACCCAGGGGTATGAGACAAGTTCCATCATACAGACTATAATACTGACTATCACTGCTCTGAAAATAGTTATCAACTAAGCCAAAACATCAGAACAGTATATATATACAGGGCAAGAGCCCTGATCTCTAGCCCTGATACATATAAGTGATGCAGTGTGGTTTTGCACTGAATACAACGATGAACTTATTAAGTTTGGCTATAGCTTACTTCTACGTTTCCATTAGAGAAAATATACTACTAAAGTAAACATATTTCACCTAGTGTATAGAATATTATTTTTTATGCAACAAAAATGGATGTCGTTTCATAAAATGTTATAGTAGTTGAAAATCCAAAAATAAATAAAGTGGTTGACGTTAAATTAACAGTATTTGTAAGGCATTAGGCAGGCCAATTAAAACCCCTGTCTTGAATACCAGACAAAAGTTTATTAAAAATTACGTCTAATTGCTTCCAATGTATAAAATAATATTGGTTGTTTCCTTTTATCAACAGTAAAATACATTGAAACCCAACAAAACCCAGGAAACATGACATATGACTTGAAGGAAAATGGCTGATTGTTTGTGCCTGGTAAAATGTATTGGCCAATAAGGATGGAATAATCTTGACATTTTTCATCCCTGGCGCTGTGATTTGGTCTTTGTCATATGGTTCTAGGTATTTCTACGTGATTTTAGGCTGAATAACGAAAACATTTCTCGTTTTATATGTATTGTTAGATATGTTTTGAAATTAAACAGTTAAAGCTTTTAAACTAGTCAGAAAGGTGGTGTAATACTGTGTCTTAGTTGATAGGGCATCAGATTTTGTGTGAGAAGAACGGGATCTATATCCAGTATTCGCCTCAAAAATAAAAATAAAATAAAACTTTGGATAAAACGATTTTTCTTCAAACAATTTTAGTATAAAAATGATACATACATTAAAAGATAACATAAGGTGAAACAATATTTATAACCCTTTTATACATCGTCATTTACATCGTTAAAAGAAAACTATCGGTTTATGATATGATCTTTGTAATAAATCCTACAGGTTTAACGTTGTATAGTCAATTACCAAAAGAAAATAATCATAAAATTATACTCTATAAAAGATTGTTACAATTGCACGAATTTCGTTAGTGATTGGTATACACGTTTCCAAGTTGAAAACCGATTTGCTTGGGCGATCTGGAGGGATATTTGGGGGGAAATTAATTGATCTTTAGTATACACATAAATGCTATACTTTGAAAGAAGCCCCGTTGGGAATAAAGTGTCTTAAAGCCATTCACTTTTCGAACAGTGATTATAATTCTTAATACTTTTTTACCACCCAATAACAATTTTTTCTTAATAATATGTTTTTAAATTGGCATTTTTTAGTGAGCTACCTTGTTTACAGTTCTGTATTTATCCTTCCTTTCCGTTCGCGCTTTTATGTACTCAGTTACATTTGATCATTACTCATAATCTTATAGTTTTTCCAGTAGACATTACATTTCCTTTTTGATTCCCCAGGAAAAAGTCAAAAGCATAATTTTTACTCTCAAAAATATAAAATACCCCCGCCGCAGCAAGCCTGCAGACTAAGCGAATTTCAACTTGTCTGATTACATTTTGACTAAAATATTTCCATAAATAAGACATATTTATTCCCAATTTAAATAACATTAGATTTAACTAGTACTTAGGTTTGCTGCTACGGGGAAGGTAAAAAGTGTTTTTTTGACCATATGTCAATAGTATAGGATGCAATAAATAAATTTGCCAAATTTTATCAATATATATCCCTAAACAAGTAAACTACAACAGTTTTCATTTTCTCCATAAGAATAACATGGGAATTTTAAATTACACTTTTTTTATTTTCTCCATGACCGTTAGGCATACAACAGCGCTTCAATATACTAAATTATTTCTTTTTTTAATCTCTACAAAATGGTTCATAAAGAAATTGAAATTTTTTTGTTTTTAGGGTAAAAAATGGGAAACCCCCATTTTTACCCCATAAAACCCCCCATAAACCCCTGTTCCCATGGTCCAATTATACTGGTTCGCGAACTCGTTGAAATAAACATAGGTTTACACGTTTGTACCAAATTTCATCAAAATTGGATCATTTTTGCTCGAGTTATCGTGCTAACGGACATATATATATATGAATTTGAACGGATGGTGTTTTTGGTCTCTGGGGACCTCAAAACGAAAAAGTAAATCGGTCCCTGGTCTAGGTCTTACCATGAGACCAACGGTAATAGCTTATTCCCTATATGGGAAATTCGCTAACAAGTACAGAAAAAGTCAACAAGAAAACATAAAAAAGATTTATGCCCTTTACAAATAAGGCAACAAACTGGTAGAGGTATATACACTATTTACAATGACAAAATGAAGACACTTATTCAACGAAAATTTCCCCGACCGATGCTTAAATTTGTAGAAATTGTTTTCAGCTTTTTGCAATGTAAAAATTCTTAAACTCTATAGTTAAAAAGTTGTTCTGGTCCAGTAGCAATGTGAAGGTGGCAGGTGGAACGTATTGCATGTTGAACACGATTGGTGTTTGTAGTCAAGTCCTACGGGAGTGGCCCAATTATTGGAGCGTGTCGAAACGTTGACATTGGCCGACTTGGCGGGGAAGATTGGACGGGTTGGGAAGGGTGTTATGACCACAGGGCTTATCGACACTTTTTACCTCTGAACCCTATTCGTCCAACCGATATTTATAATATGCAACTTTTTAAAACTATTTTAATTTTAGTATATGGACTTTGCTTATGTGTGTTTTACTAGGCTACGGTTCGGGAGGTAAGGAAACTGATTCCGTCTTCAAGTGATTAACTGTTAAACTTCATTTCCATATTTACCCTATCTAGCTTAACCATGTTAATTTTCTCCACAGATTGATTACATTATATAGGTGTATTCCATTAAAAAAATCACTTGAAAGTGGGAGAACTTTCCTTTGGCTCCGAAACGAAGTGCAATTAAAACACAGTGTAGGAAAAGTATATAAGCGAAGATAAAATTGTTATCCTTTGCAGTTATGAACTTTAAAAACACAGTAAAGCTATTGATTATTTCTAACATTTCTTTTGTTTGGAGTTTAATTTTTGTGGTGAGTTTTTTTTTTGCCTAAGTGATTATTGCAAATCAATTAATCTTCAACTTTCATAGTTTTCATGATTAATATTTAAAACTAATAGTGATTAAACATGTGTTTGATATGGAAAGATATGGAAGTAAACGATGTAATAAGTTGAAATGTTCCATCAAAAAATAATCTACTAGTATATTTTAAACACGTAATAGTAAAATATTTTTTTCATTTTTTATATATGCCTTTTTGAGATATTTATAAGTCCAAATTAAACCAAGGGTTCCCATTAATTGAAGTAATTGTTAAACTAAATCTGTCCTAAGATTCGCAACATTTTCAACTGTAGTCAATAACATTAATAAAACAGAAGATTATTTTATGTGCAGTACTTAGTTTTGTTCAAGCAAAATCATGCAACCTTTTTTGATACTGTGTTCTAAAACAATTTTACAGAGGAAAACACACAAAACACATCGTAAGTGCAATATTGGGATATATTTTCCCCTAAAAAAGTATGTTGAAATAACTATACAGTAAAAATACTTGTCACGGTTGTGGTTTTACACATACTTCATTTCCAAAAAATGTCTCCTTTTATTTATAAATATTGTTCAGGCCAAGGAGATAACCAATGGCAATGTAGCATGTTTCTGGAATGTGTGAAGAAATTGGTTTCGTGCTGCCCGTAACTCAGGGATGTAGAACGGGAGAATTTACTGCCTCTCTTCCCAAATATAGAAAATTAAAGGTATATTTAACACGAAGGGATGTTCACTTTTTTACCAAGTTCAGAAAATACGTTTATGATTATTTAGGTTATGAATTTTTTGAACTTAGTTTAGTTTACAGGTTCCTTACATCAATCAAGTCCAGATTTATTGGTTTGGATGATACTAAACATTGGTTATTTTATATAACATTATTTTGTAAAACTTAGATATTCATTCAATCATAGACTTATTCTATGGTCTTTTTGAAAAACACACAGAATCTGATAACTAAGGTGAACGTTTGTTCAATTTGTACATATTAATTCCAAATGCATAATTTACCATAATAATTTAAATAGAGTTCTTTAAAAAGTAGTCTTTAATAACAAAAAATGCATTTGACTAGAATATCGCTCATATTTTTATTATTTTTTTATTTTTTAGTTTGGATACTGGATTTCTTAATGGAAATTTTTTAAATAATTTAATCAGCTCTGGCAGGAAAATTACTATTCATCTTGAATATAACGTTTTTTGCTATAAAAGGGTGTCATTGACTATGGTTGCCATGGCTTCTTTGGAAAGTAATTTTACATTTATATTATTTTGAACACTATATTTAGTCAACGTTTTTGCACAGTTTTTGTGCTTTTTAGTTTCTCTAAGAAATAAAATGGCGTTCATATTCCAAAAAACTCTGAACATTAGTATTATTAAAATGTACTTTGTCAAATGTAAATTTTGCAAAATTGAAATCCACAGCTTGATCTTATACATCAAAATGAGATTTTAATATTTGGAGAAAGTTGGGGAGAAATTATTTGTTGTAAATGTAATAGCCATAATATTGTTATTTGTCAAGAATGACACATTTTCAGATAGTTTGTCAACTTGGAGGGACAAATTACGGAGTTCCTCAACCTCGAAG